CCAGTTGTAGCATGGGTGTTTTGTGGTTGAGGGACCGGCTCCTCGAGTCCTGTGAGGACGGAACTCAAGTCGACTATAAAGATAGATGATGGGTTTTCCACGTTGAAGAAGGTAGTAGGCTTGCTGAAATATGCCTCTCAGCGTGGAGCGGGTTTTCAACAGGTGGCGCTGGCGCACCAGGACCTACTCCCCCCCCCCCTCGCTGGCTCGCTGGCGCCCGCTTCCAAGCGGCGTGTGGGGGGGTGTACCTGTCGGGATACCGCCCATGCCGGGGTTCGAACCCCCGGGGTTTACGCATCCCCGACTATTGGGCAGCCCCCGTTTTGCAGGTCGCATAGTAGCGGCGCAGGGCCTTACGGTACATAGTGCTTCCGAGGCAACTCGGCTACTTCGTTGCCACAGCCGCGTGCGTGCCCATCTCAACGGCTCGCTTATTCGCCCTTGAACGTACGTGTGTGGTATGTGTTACTGCTTGCGTCTGGTGCGGTGGGCGGGCGACCGTCCCCAACGACAGGAAGCAGAACAGGTAAAATAGGAAGAGATAACACGAGGGAGTGGTACGTACAACACCGCAACTGATTGTTTCTACCCCCGTATTGTGGCCTTCCGAGGATGGAGTCCTGGTGGATTCGGATCATTTGTCAATCCTGGTCTTTAGTATAACCTCATTATTTAGTATCTTGTTGCTGCTGTAGGTCAGTTGATTCCAAAATACGACTACCATGTTGTAGACTACCATGTTGTAGCCGTACTTGGGCGCTAATCTCTGCACACAATCAAGGCCAACGTCTACAACTAGACAAGAGGGGCGCAAGCATCTCACAGATGGATGACTGAACCGCAAAAACGAAGCACGGGATCGAAGAGCCGCACGAAAAATGTTCACTGCATGACAGCAGCGCTATGTCCGTGCCGCGCAAAAGCTGTCGCGTCCGCTATCTTCGCCCCCAACAGACTGGCAGGGAACTAAGGTGATGTACAACGTTTCGCTGTCGAGACGACGTGATCACTATTCTCCCTACCTGCACTCCTCCCCCGCTGACCTGAACGGACCCCCGCTCCACGTCCTGGTACCTGCGTGCGCCCATCGACTGCTCCTCGATTTGCATGTGCGGCATCTGGTCACAGCAAGGGGGCATGCGGGTACAGCAGGGTGGGCGGGGGGCGTGGTCGCAGTAACGGGTGACAAGGGGCCACGGGGGTAAATGTGGGGCAAAGACAGATTCGCTGCCACAGCAGTCGGGGGTCTGTCCGCCTTTCCAAGTTTAGAACCACACGAACTGCGGCCATCGTTTTCGTTAGAATGGGTCGCACGGCAGAGTCTACCAAAACAAGGCACTTCGTCTTGAAGCGCAGAAGACAGTTTAATCGTGTGTGTGTGTGTTTTGTTTTTTGGAATTGCAGTGTTTGGGGACGCTACGCATGGCATCTTGTTAAATCAAATCAATTCCACGGGTGGCCCTAGCCCCCCAGCACTACACCAAGCAGCACAAGTGGTTCGGAACGAGCGTGGTTACCGTCTACTGCTGTACAATGTACTCCATCGAAACCCAACACCGTGCAACACCAACAAACCACGAGGACGACGACAACGACGACAACAGCAATGGGGGGGTTGATGGTGCTGAAAGGTCACCTCGGCTGCGAATAACCCCTTGGTCTTGAGCAGGACTTCCTGGAGTTCCACCTGATGTTTTCGCGTAGCGTGGACAAAGGGAAAGGACGGGGTCGGACAAAGGGAAAGGAGACGGAAGGAAAAAGCTCGATACACATGTACGTTCAGGGCGGCGGGAGAAGGCAGATACAATCTTGAAGCGCTGCTGTGTTGTGCAGAACAGCAGCAGAAATATGAAGTAACACACGGCTGTACCGGAAAGCCAGCCAGACTGTTGTTCGCTACGTTAGGATCGTGGTACTCCTGGTAAGGTAGGTCCCCGCAGTACGCGTTACCCCCCTCCTGTTCTTGTCGCCCCCTCTCAACTCTTTTGGCACGACCACAAACGCCGGACGACTACGCTACTACTACACCGGAAACACCCACGGCACCCCCTTGTTCCGAACAGGGGGGTATGCACAAAATAAATGGAGGAAACATAGGCGAGCAAACCGGCCTTCTCGTTTGGAGCTGGTCTCCGTACCACGCACGTGCGACTTCAAGGCAGTTACAACCATAACCACAACAAGTACACCACATACCGCGCAGCAAAGACAACGAAAGATCTGCGGCATCTCTCGACCTTCTCAGTGCGGGCTGCTGTTTTGTTTTCTCATCAAGAACCTGAATCTTGACGGTCCGGTTCTTAACACACTCTTTGACGATGTGTCTATGAACCCTGCATGCATGAACACCCCCCCCCCACTTCTCAAGCAGATGCGGCAGATAGAGTACACGACAACGGCATCACAATGACGACAACATCATCAGCAAACGGAACAGACCACCATCAGTCACCACAGAACCAACCACATACTTCCTCGCTTACCTTCTCGTTGTACTCGCTCGTGAGGCGCTCGTTGTACGTGTTGAGCTCCACCAGGTGCGACTCGAGCGCCTCCAGGTCCGCCTCCAGCTTCTGCAGGAGGGCCTGCCCGCCCAGCACGCTCTTCGCCTCGGCCCCGCTACCCACGCCCTGCGCCGACGACGACTGCACGAACGACTCGACGGTGCCCGCACTGGCCACCTTGAGGTCGAACTTCTTCACCTGTGATAAATACAAGTAAGTAGTGTAGTCTTGAATACAGCTAGCGTCAAGCTGCTCACAGCGGCTTGTGCTGTCTTGAAGTTTTGGGTCGAGCTTACTGCTGTGGTTGTTGCTGTGGCGGTATAGTATTTAGTCGTTGTCGGATGTAAACGTTTTGTTCCGTGGCAGCAGGAATTTATCGACGTGAGCGCAAAGCCCTTGTAGCTTGAGTAGGTGTTGCTGTGGTGCAGAGGCGCGCGCTCAGCACGAAAATGGTGCAGGTACACAGAGGCCACAGCACGGAGCTGTAAGCACCGCAGACACACAAAGCGGGGTCCGTATTCACGTACAGCAGTACTGCCATGTACACGGAAAATTCGGTAAGCGACGGGAGGCACTAGCAAGGGGACACCAGTGCTTTTCGCCGACGATCACGAGGCGGAGATCAACGTAGCCGTGCTCTGGCGGAAGCGCGAGGAAACTCCATTCAGTCTGCAACGGTACACAATTGCTATGAAGGCCGCAAATCGCGGCTGTGGATATCAACAAGTACATTGCTCTTCAGCATTGACTGAAGTCGAGATCCAACATGTCTGTACTTGGAACCCCGTATCCCACTTGGTTTTAATACTCGTGGTTCTTTCTCGAGTCGAACAGCAGTGGAGGTGTAACAGTCGGAGGACAACCCTCCCACTACCTGCACCCTTGCTGAGTGCTTTGGATTCTACACGGGGGGGGGGGAAATGAAATTGTCAAAATTGAAACCAGCAAGGCAAGGCCGGCCTGAGGGCGCAACGGCGGGCAGCGAGATAGGGGCACAAGGCGCCGTAGTGATATGTAAAAACGTTATTTAACCCCTGTGGGTCTAGGCTGGACTGTCAGATATTTTTTTTTGCGCCAAAAAAATAATGAGAGCGAGAGCGAGCGGGAGAGAGAGAAGTGCAGAGAAAGACACCAGCGTAGTTCTGCACACGCAACAGCTATCTCCACCTGTAGGCCATGAGGGAAGCCGGCGGCAGGGTGGTGGCCACAGACAGGGTCGTAGAAGGGTTGATAGGTGGTCGCGCTGCGGTCAGTAGGGCAGGTTAGCTGTGTAGACTTTGAAATGATCAGTCGTCTAGCTGGCTCAACTAGTCTATTTCCGGCATATTGTAAATGATCAGTCCAGAGAGGGTAAAATGATCAGTGAAGACCCATAGCTGGTATTTGTATTTCTGTACTTCTCTGTTCTCTGTCCCCCCCCGAAACGTGCCCTGCCAGCTCTCTAGCACTCCTGTGTTTTTCAAACAACAAGCACATCCACCAGCACACCAGCACACACCTGTACCTCGTGGTTTCCTAGGTTCGGGCGAGGGTAGTATGTGTGGCGCTACGAGTGTGGATGTGTTGCTGATATGTTTTACTCGTCTACAGCAGTAGTAGTATTGTAGCGTTTCTTGCAGCTTCTCACACAATGGCTGCTGGATCTTGGGAACGATTTTCAAATTGTTGGGAGATGCAGCATACCAATGCTGTTTTTTCAACAAAAGAAGAGAAAATTTCTAGGATATCCTCGATATCTGGGCTTCGGCAGGGCTTGCAATACCCCTCCCTTTTGCTGCCCTCTGCTCTTTGCTGAAGTGGCTACGTCCGGGCGAGTGTATGTGTGGTGCTGCGAAAGAACACGTATGTATGTATGTATGTATGTATGTATGTATGTATGTATGTATGCATGCACACACACGTTCATGTACATGTACATACGGTGAGAGATTCATGATTTGGCATTGATTGGCCCCATTCCCGAGACCTTGATAATACCCGCTGTCACTGACGTCTGTTCATTGGTCAGCCGGTTAGCGCGGGTGCTAATAATCTAGACACACCCTACCTATGGACTTGCCAATACACAGCGCGAAGGGCTGCAGGGTGGCAACTCCACGACTTGCCACTACGCCAGCATTTGCAAATGATCAATCAATGATCAGCCAGAACGCCTGAAGACTCAAAAGGGTTAAAAAATGGTTGCTTTGTACACAGCAACAACTCCACATTCTATCAATCGTGCGCTTCTGCACGCATCCAGTATAAATACATTCGCCGTGCGTTCGTAGTCATGGATTACTCCTGTGCTTGCTCGTGGTCGCTGAAACCATCTTTGCCGGTTGCATGCGGAGCTATGCAATGCATACTTGTCGTTGGCTTATTGTAGCCGTTCTTGTTGGCAATACTTGTGATACATACCTCCGCACACCCGCCAAAGGTCGTGTAACAAGTGCTGCTTCGTGTATGCCTTCTACTGCTGTACCTGGTATCTGTCAACAATCCATAGGTAACGAGAACGGTGGAGAGACGCACCTCCTCTCCGAAGAAGGCAAGCTTGCGCTCCAGCTCGTCGATGCGCTTAATGTACGCCACGTATCTCCGCTGGAAGGCCGTCAGCTCCGGGTTGAGGTCCGTGAACTGGATCATGCCGAGCTTCCCCAGGTCCGAGATGCACGTGTGCGCGGCGTCCTCGTTGACGATGATAGAGACATAAGCCATATCCTCTGACCGAAACCATCTCGCCATGGTTCTGCTGCTGCTGTGTTCGTCCGGCCACAAGAGACAGAGAGGGCAAGGGACGAAACACACAAGCGTAACTGCTGTGAGATGTGGTGGCAACGGCGTGTTGAGTCATTGCCGTAGCTCGGCTACTGCTGAGCACACGCTGCTACTGCTGAGCACATGCCATTGCTGCTGCTGCTGCTGCTGCTGCTGCTGCTGCTGCTGCTGCTGCTGCCAAGAGAGAGAAAGCACGGCACCGAAAGAACAGGGCGAGAATAATCGCGAGGATGGAATCGGTGCTGTACCGAAGAACCTAAGGTGCAATCGGCCAAACTCATACCAAGGCTGCACGTAAACGTCATCAACAGCTAGCGCCAACACCTGTTCGCTCTAGTCCCCCTTCGGTGTCAAGCTGATGCCTCTCTGCTAAAAGGCTTCTGCTGCTGGTGCTGTGTGTGTTTTGGCGTGACAACAAGCACTTCCCAATTTGCCACTTTCAGAACTGACGATCACGTGTGTACCTCAGCAAATTTTGTTGGCAACACTGGTAGCCTCACCTTGCACCCGCGAGGGGGCTCTCAGTCTCTCTTAACGAGAGGACGGTGTGTTCTTTGGAGCCGCCTTCCAAGGACGGACGGCGTGACCTGCCTTGCCTGTTGCCTGTTGCGGCGAGCTGCACAACTCGCCGGCGGCTGGGGACCGGCGGCTGGCGCGCGGTAAATAAAGAATCCGAACCATCTGTTGTTGAAACCCTACGAAGAACAGCAGTCAGAGGAACTCTGCGCGCGAACATAATGTGTCTTCCTTCTTTTGCCTTATATTTACTTATTTACCTCTCTTCCTTTGTGTGCAGCTCACGAGTGTGCGTCCAAGTGTGCGTCCAAAATGCTTGAGAATGTCCACCAATGTAAGTAAGGGTCTGTGGAAAGCGGATTATCCCTCTCGACCCTGGAAGCACACGATGCGTGTCTATCTCTTTTACCCAGTTAATTACATCGACATAGTAGTATGGGTGGACGTTTGAGATTTGTAGTAGTAGTTGGTGGGGCTCTCGCTGTTATCCATGTCCTCACAACACCACGTGACAGCGGGCATGCAGAGTTTTGAGTGTGGACTCGCAGGAAGAAGCGATGCAATTTCGCCATGATGTAATTTGTAATTTGGCCATGACGTAACAGGTAGTAGGTGGTGGGTGCCTCTGGCCTGTTGGTATCACAACGCCTAGAACATATCTGACATTCGTTGTTCATCCTCCGACCGACGCGATTGTCTTCCGCGCAACGTTGTGATTATGATCATGAGAGACCTTGCGTTTGTAACAACACAGCCAAACACCCGGGGGCGCTTGTATCTGTTACGGCATCCCACCAGTTGCGTAGACCTCTAATCAATCCATACAACAGCTTTCATGAACACCTAAATGTATGCAACAGCCTTCAGGAACACCCGCAAAACCAACAAGACGATACAATGATACTCCGAGCGAAGAACGAAAACCACAACCCACGACGGCAACCACAACGCTGCAATTAAATACTCCAACTGTCTGCGGGAGGCGGGGACACACACACACAAAATACATCCCCGGGGCATAACATACTCCTCGCTTGAGGAGTTAATTGTACACATCAATCTCCGCCATCTCCAGCTTGGGCGTGCAGCTCGTTCGCTCCGCGGACGCCCTCAACAAAAAGCCGGTCACAGCCATGACCGCGTCCCCCTCGGACATGGTGAACTCCGGCTTGAGATCCGCCAAGTCAGGCTCCATCGGAAACGTGGCAGGACAGCCCACGACGTGCTCCTCCTCCTCCTCCTCCTTCTCCGGGCCACCAGCCCCCGCACCCGCCGGGGCGGCCGGCAACCGCCTGACGAACCCGGAGTCCTGGACCACGGTAACGGCAGACAGAGTGCGCGCCCACTCGACAAGAAACCGGTCTCCGGGCTGCCGTCTCGCCGGGAAGACGCCTCCGGCCAGGCTTTCTCCGAAGTACAGCGTTGTCTCCACAAGGTCTTTGCCGATGAGGAGGGCACCCTCCCCGGGCAAGTCCTCGGCGTTTTCCTCCTCCTCGGTAAAATTATCCCCCAATATCTGTCGTTTGGCGGCGGCGGCGGCCGCCGCGGCGGCGTTGCCGGGCGGCCCGTAGACCAGCAGCCCCCTCCTCCCCGGCGACTTGTCCGCTTCGAGAGTTCTTATCCTGGCGGCGAGGTTCGCGGCCACGAGGTAGTGCTCCACCGGCAGCAGCAGCAGCCACCCGGCGTCCGGGAACGCCTCCGACAGCTCGCGAAGCCGGGCCAGGTCGCCCCTCACCCCGGCGTGCTCCCTCCCGCTCGCGGCCAGCATCCGGCGCTGACGGAGGCCGCCCCCCGGCCTCCCCCACGCCGCCTCGATGCGCTTCTCGTCGAGCTTGGATAATCGGCGCGTCGGCGAGTACACTCCGATCGCGACCTCGGACAGAGCCTCGGCCGTCTGCGCGGGGGTCATGTCGCCGCAAGTGCACGCCCGCCATGACACGAAGTCCAGGTAGTGCATGTACTTCCCCGGCACGTAGTGGAAGAGGGCCGAGCGCTCGGGAATCATCGCGCCGCCGCCGCCGCCACCGCCGCCGCCGCCCACCGCTCTTGACACCCCCAGGCGGGGGTCGAAGTAGTAGCCCGGCGGCTCGTGGGGGAGCTCGTCGAGGTGCACCCAGCTGTGACCGAGGTGTTCCACCAGCCTGGTCGGGAGTTGGGTGGCAACAGCGCGCCCAGGTGTCTAGCAGGTTAAAAGCTGTGCAGTAAGGAAATGGCTTATGTTTCGCGTCGCATGATAGACGTCGCCGACGATAGCAGGGGGCGACGACCCATCATCGATGGTGGAATGACGCCATGCAGGAAGATACAGGCGAGTCGCAGTCGATGTACTCTGCTGTAAATACAATCACTGCAGGACAAGCGCACGCACAACTCGTATCTAGCGTGCGTCTACTAGAACAAAAGCGGTAGAGGCGTACCAGGTGTTTCAGCAAACAGAGGGACGCACACGCGAAACAGGATTTCTCATGCCGGTGCCGTTCTCATGTCGTGCATTCTCCCTCTATCTGCCTGCCTTTCTTCCTTCTCCTTCCACGACTCACTTCTGGAAGGCGATGTCGTGGAACTTGTCCTCTTCGGTTGCCTTGTTGACGTCGCCGCCGGAGCGCTCCACGATGCCTTGATACCACGGCTCGAGGTGCGGCGAGAGCTGTCGGGTCATGGCTCGGCTCGTGATGACGCTCGCGCCCCCGGCGACCTGATTTTGTGGTCGTGTTCCGGGTGGCAACAAGACAAACGGTGTTTTGTTGATACGCGATGATCACGCCGGAACACGGAATGCGATGCCGAGCGACCAGTCAACAGCTTGCACGCGACAGGCTGCCCTTGCTGCAAGTTGTTCCTGTAGGCCACGCCCTGTAGGCTTTCAGAATACGCTCTCGCAAGGTGCAGAGAGCGGCGGAAGAATGACAAACGTATAGGACACACGTCCGGTTTGTCGCCTATCGGGGCTGAATAGACTTGGTCCCTTAACGTCCACGACCACCCTGCATTTCAACGTCGAGCTGCAATTGCACGTATCGTTTGCTTGCGTCTTTGTAGAACCGGGGGCGGGGGGGTGAGTAACGGCCGACAATAACTGTTCACGCCCCGTTCTTCTGCATGTCAATCCGGTATGGACATTGCTTTCAACCCTGAAACACCAACATGAACACGCACCTTGCAGCCGAACTTGTTCCTGTGAACCATGCGCGAGAGAGCTAACGGCTCTTCTGGGTCGAAGGCCGAGAGGGCGTTGATGTAGTTGTCCAGGAGCACGTAGTTGTCATCACCGAGGACGACGAACCACTTCTTCGTAGGGTAGGCATCCAGCATTAGGCGCAGGCCGACGAAGGCCTTGCCCAGCGTGCTGAAGTAGTCGTCTTGCTCGATGCCGGTATCTGACCGCGAGCCAGGTGTGTTGACGAGGGCGGAGATTCATTCGTGGGGCGTGTATGATAAACCGCAAGTTGACGACAGGCAAACCGCTGTAATCTAATCAACTTCTACTGAAGCTGAATTTACTGCTGTACGATCAATCCCAAGAGTGGAGAGAAAACGCCACTGAAATATCCGCGTCTACTTCTACACGTGTAGAGGGAGGCATATCACAGGAACGTTTTCGGGCAGCCCATCGACGCCCCCCTCCTCGCGCCCCCCATCTTGCTCGCAAACATTCTTGCACGACACCTCTACACACATAAACTACAGGCTGTAGACTACAACGCGGATGCCATGTCGACATGCTACAGCAGCAGGCAGCAGCGGGTACAAGTATGGCTGCTACAACATGGGAACGGCAGACTCTCCTCACCAAGCAAGTGTGGCCGCGATCCGGGCACCCCTTCCCGAAACAGCTTGCTCTCCCGCACGCCGACCGACGAGGCCAGCAGCACCACCTGGGCCCGCCTTCCCCACGTCTCCAGCAGGGGCTGCAGCCTCCCCTCTGTTGCCAGGCTGTGCCACACCCCAAACACCACCTCCGTCTTGTCCAGCTCGAAGACGCACGTCTCGCGCTTGTTCTGCTCCGGCCGCCGCACTCCTCTCTCCTCGTCTGAGCACACCCCTGGAGAAATTGTCCGCGGCACGCATGCTCTCGGTGCTGCTGCTGCTGCTGCTGCTGTTGAGGAAGCGCTGCTTCCCGCAACGGAAAGCACGCGGCGCAGAGATTTACGAGTGCTCGGCGGAATTGGCCCTGCAGAGCGATCGTGGTAGTCGGGGTCGACACCTTCTGTGTAAACAGGGTGCTGCGGTTGTTCGTCTCTGCCGCCGTTGCCCGCGATGCGCAGGAGAAGATAGATGGTGATTACCTGGGACAGCGCCAGGCATGTCAAGACCAACGACTTCCACGAGGAAAAGAAGGGGCTCATCCATGGTGGTGACGCCGACGCCAACCGGTGTCGTCGCATGGTCTGGCTGCTGCTTGTGATAGATTGCAAGCACACAGAGAGGCACCGGCCGGCACTGCTGCGGGCACCCAGCTAGGGGCCCCGACGAGCATTCCCTTACCCCCCCCGGTGTAGCTCGCTTTACAGTCCGGCGAAAACTGGCTCTATTATCTTTGCCCGAGAGGATCGGTGGTGGCACAAACCATGTCATGTACGTATACGACGGTGCAATATGCGGGGGCTGTAAGCGCGTGGAAGCTGCAGTCCTTGGTGCTGCCGTTCGCTGAGATGTGCTCGATATCCAGACCATGTACAGGAGAAAGAAATCCGGCGGTGGAACTGCTAGCCGGATGTGTATTGTAGTGCTCAGCAGTAGAGCAAGTATCGCAGTATTCAGCGGCAGCAGCAGCAGCAGATGCTGTTGCAATGCCGAGTTGCTTAGCAGGATGTTCAAAAGTGCGTTCTGATGGGCGTTTTCGTCCCGTCTGTTCAATGCGCCAGTCTACACCTTCCGGCATTATCCCACCCGGGGAAGGTGAAACACAGGTAAACATCTAATGTATGTACTACCTACCGTTGCTGCTGTTGAGCGGCGACTACAGAGTAGACTATACAACAGAACGCGCCCGCACCATAGAAACTAGTACGCATACCTCAAACGAAATTCAGCTTACAAAATCAAACTTGACTATTGAAAGTCTGTTCAGAAGAAAACCTGCCTCACATTTTCCGAAAGAGAAGAATTTACACAGCACACAGCAGTCGTCGTGGACTTGCACACATCCTACTTAAAAATGGTAGCCTTCAACGGTGGCGACGAAATGATCAGAAGAAATGCAAAAGTGAGCCTCGGACCCTGAAATCGACGTTTCTCAATACTGCTGTCGTAGGCTAGTTTCCTTGCTACGAGCGCCTTCTACTTCAAAATAATGCGGTTTTACCACCGGGAGAGATGCGAAACCTTGAAGTCAGAGGGTTCACGGGCTGTAGAAACTGAACCACGGGCGACTGGGAAGACTTACGCGAATACCAATCTTTACATTGTCAAGAAACAGGGTACACGTTACTTCACGTTTTGGCAAACCTACAGACTACCGCCGTTAGCACGTGCTTCTGAAAGTTGTGTACCGCTGTCTATCACGCATTGAAAATGACAAACCACGTTGCTTCGATTTTAGACACTGAATTGTTGTCGGGGACAAAAATGCGCGTTCGCAAACCCAGCATACGGCGACATCAGTCACCGAAAACACAAGTAGGAACTTATGGCATGGCTACCAACAACGCGTGACACAGACGAAAAGCTTCGCTTTTCCCCAAAATGCACAGTGAAAAAATAGACGTCACCCCGGCCTTGCCACACAATCGTATCACGCGTACTACAATCAATCGAGGTTTCAAAAAACAATCATGAAACAAAATCCATCTCTAGACGACCTTGGAAAAAAAACGGAACGGCCGAACCGCGCCTTCCTCTGATAGCAATCCATCCCCGGCGAATGCAACGGGCAACTTAACGTACTTCACACACAAAAACTTTGGGGGTGTTGTTCCCCTCTTCTCTCTTGGCACAGCACGTTTGTCGGCGACGCGCAAGCGGTCCAAAAGACTTTGCCGCCGCCCGCAGCAGACATTTTTAAAATACCGTATCATAAAAGGAGTCCCAGCAATAAGAGAGTACGATATACGTACACGAATTCGAAAAAGGTTCAAGTACAAGCGGAGGCCTCTCCCCTATCCCAATCTCTCCGCGATCTCATTTCACGACGTCCGATCTTTACGAACAGAAACGCAGGAAAGGTGAGAAACAACAATCAAAGGCCAGCAATGTTGACTTTAGACTGCTGCTGCGGAAGCGCAGACAGACAGGTTTAGTCACGCTTATGCACAACGCAAGCGCAGCAGCCTCAAAACAACACCTCTTTCGAGAGACAAGAGGCAGGCGGTTCCACAAGCCGGCCATGACAAAAAAAAAAGAAAAAGCAGAAGACCGGGATCAAGCCGAGTAGATTGCCGAGGTCAGGTCGCGGTCTGCCGGATTGCTCGGGGCGGAGGGTATCGGGCGCCTCTTGTCCATCACCTCCGCCTCAGCCCGGTTCATCTGCCTCACGCCGGCGAGGATTCCCAAGACGCCGATGCACAGCAGACCGATCCACAACCCTTGCAACGCCACGTTGATGCCGTCGGACAAGTCCTTCCCGAGCTGGACGAACCGGTAGTCGTCCTTGGACGCGATCCCGGCGATGGCCCAAGCAACAGCCAGGAGGTAAGGCTGATCATAAAAACAACAAGAGCCGAGGGGGATGGGTACATCTGTGGGTGGGGTGGAACAGTTTTTTCTTTACTGCTGTGTCTTTTTGGTTCAATTATTTTAAATTAAATTCCTTTGCAAAATTGATCTTACTTGGGTTGGCATGTAGCTCATGATCATGGATCTCCATTCCGCGCCAGCTTGACTCGTCCCGAGAACCGGAGGTAAACGGGTGGCGGTCAACATCTTCGTGTCCATGCCCAAGACGGCAACAACGATAAGTTAGCAAAAAAACGCAACACTGCTGCGGCGGCTTCTTCAACAATCGGATCAACACACACACACACGCACGCACGCACGCACGACGCACGCACGCACGCACGCATGGGGACACCAGTCTCCTACGGGACACGGGATGCGGTGATAACCCTTGCGGCGCCACGGGAGGGCACCGCAACCGAAGGGGCACCGCAACTAGGACAATGGAGCACCAACCTGGTTGTGGAACACCAGCGAGACGAAGGCTGCTCCCAAGGCCGCCCCAACGAGACTGAGGATGAGGGCGGCAAGCTCAGAGCCAGTGTCGTCCCCCAGCTCGAGCGCCACGTTGATGTTGACGATGGCGGCTGTTGTCGTTTTAACACGCCGCGTCGTGTAGTCATATGCCAACAAGCGCACGCACATGTTTTTTTTTTTCGGCAACGCGCAACGTGGTTGGAGGGCGGCGCGCAGTGGGGAAGCACACCAGAGGTTTTAGCGTCCAAAGGTCGCCGAACAAAACAACGTTGCGGTGTGTGAGGAAAGAGAGTACTTTTTCCTGTGGGAGTATGCATATTACACCTTCTTGCTCATGACGCTCTCCTCCGAGTGTGTCGCCACGCGGGTTCAACAGCTGCTCGAGCGATGAGTTATTTCACGACGTCAAACGTATCGTGTATGCGATGTTCGCTCGCTCACCCGCCAGAGTCCAGCCTCCGTGCAAGCCTATCGGGAAGTACACGCCCCAGAAGGGGAGGGTGAACAACGTGATCCCCTCCTCGCACTGCATCAGGCTGAGGGCAATCACCGCCATGGTGAGCGACAACGTGATAAGGCACAGGAGGATGGCGCTCACGATGAGCAGCTCCTGCGCGAACACGATGCTCCAGGCCGCCTTTTTTTATATTTTTGGTGTTGCAGGCGGGGAGGAGGTACGGATGCAGGGAGGGGTGGGGGGATCAAAAGAAAATGTAGGGGGGGACGGGATGGGAGCCGAGAGGAAGACGAGGGGGGGGGGGT